AACCGCCTCGGGTGGGCGGTGGCCGGGGCACGGGGGCTCAGGGCCACAGGCCGCGGGCTCATGCGGGTGGCGGAGAGGAGGTGGAGGAGTTTGGCCGCCTACGGTGGCACGTGCTGCCACCGAATCAATCGCGTGAAGCTTCGCTTAATGACCCAAGGGGCTGGGCCCGCTGTCCCCCAGGTGGAGGGAGCCCCAGGAGTGAGAGCCTTGCCGGCCACTAGGGGGCGAGCAAGCCACGCCGGGAACCCTGGTAGCTGAATGTCCAGCCCCCCCACTCCGCTCCTCTTGGGCCGCCCACCCCTGGACACCAACCCTCGACCTTCCCACCTCCTGTCAGGCTGGGCCTGACCACCTGGACGCGGGGGCATGGGAGGCCTGGGGGAGGGGCGTGCAGGTGTGGACTGTTTCCCTCCCTGGCAGAGTGGGCGAGGGCCGGGCGTGCTGGAGTCTGGGGAACGCCTACGTGTCCATGGGGAGCCCGGCGCAGGCCCTGACCTTCGCCAAGAAGCACTTGGAGATCTCGCAGGAGGTGAGCCAGGCCGGCCCTGCCCCGGCCCCAGCGCTGCCCCGGCCGCGCGGGAAGCCCCCAGGCACCCAGCCCACTCCCGTCCGGCCAGGTGCCCTGTGCGCTCCCGGTTCCTGAACTGTCCTGTGTCCTCTCGGTCCATCACTGTGTGCTGCCCAGGGGCTGGCCTCCCCACCTCTCCTGAGGCCTGAGGCCAGGCGACCCATTGGCTGCTGCAGCCAGGAGGTGGCGGGGAGACAGGGGGCCTGGGTTCCACCCCTAGAGCCTTTGTGCCCTGTGGGCAGGCACACCCCAGGCCCTTCTGTCCCTGCGGACCTGGTCAGGCCAGGCCACAGGGACACCTGTGCCCAAGGCCCCGGGTGGGAACGACCTGCCAGGGGCTGCCCTGCAGCGTCTTCCGGAACCGGCCAGCCCATCGCCGCCCTGGGGAGGGGGGCAGGTCCCCCCCTGTTGTCAGGGCAGCCCCTGGCTGGGAGCCGCGGTGTCTCAGTGACCTCAGGTTCCCTGGCCCCTGGCTGACCTCTCCTGACCTCACCCCCTTCCTGCTCCTTGCCCCCCGCCCTGCCTCCAAGAAGCAGCCCCCATTCAGAGCAGGGCCATGCCACCCCCCTCTCGCACACCCCCAGCTCCCGCCCGGACCCACCACAGCCCTGTGTCGGGGGCAGGTGCGGCCCACAGGTGCCGGGGCGGGGGTGGGGCGGGTGGAGGGAGCAGGAGAGCTCGGGTCTGGGGAGGGCCTGGGCGAAGAGCCCTCCACCGGGGCCGCCCTGTCCCTCCGAGCACAGGCCCAGCCGCCCTCCGCTCTGCTCCTGGCGCTGCCCGCCCTCTGCACCCAGGTTCTCCCGGGAGCCTCTGT